TTCATAGTAATCTTTTATAATTCTTTGTATTTCTATGGTGTCAGTTGTAACTTCTCTTTTATTTCTGATTTTTAAATTTGGGCCCTGTCTTTGTTTTCTTGATGCGTCAGCCTGGCTAAAGGTTTATCATAGTCCTTTTTTTAAATCTTTTTTCTTTTTAATTGAAGTATAGTTGACACACAATATTACATTAGTTCCAAGTGTACAACATAAAGATTTGACAAGTTTATTTTGTTATGCTCACCACAAGTGTAGCTACCACCTGTCACCATATAATACTATTATAATACCGTTGACTATATTCTCTATGTTGTACCTTTTATCCCCATTACTTACCATTCCATTATACCTGAAAGCAGGCATAATCTCCCCTTCTCTTCACCGATTTTGCCCATCTTCCCACCTGCCACCCCTTGGCACCTATCATTTCATTCTCTGTATTCATGGTTCTGTTTCTGTTTTTTATTTGTTCACTTGTTTTGTTTTTAGATTCCACATATAAGTGAAATTATATGGTAGTTTTTCTCTGTCTGACATTTCACTTAACAGAATACCATGTAGGTCCATATAAATATTGTTTATCTTTTCAGAGTACTGGCTCTTGGTTTCATTGATTTTTTTTTTTTATTGTTTCTTTTTCAGTCTCTATTTTATTTAGTTCCTCTCTGATCTTTATTATTTACTTTCTTCTGCTAACTTTGGGCTTTGTTGGTTCTTCTTTTTTTAGTTCTTTATATGTAAGGTTAGAGTGTTTATTGGAGATTTTTCTTGTTTCTTAGAATAGACCTATAACATTATAAACTTCCTTCTTAGAACTATTTTTGCTCTGTCCTCATAGATTTTGGAAGTCGTATTTCCATTTTATTTGTCTCAAGGTATTTTTTTATTTCCTCTTTGATTTCTTTGACCCCTTGGTTTTTGTTGGCATGTTGTTTGGCCTCCTTATATTTGTGGTTTTTTCCAGGGTTTTTTTCCCCTTGTAATTGATTTCTAATCTATTCCATTGTAGTTGAAAAGATGCTTGATATGATTTCAGTCTTGTTAAATGTATTGAGACTCATTTTGTGGCCAAACAGGTGATCCATCCTGGAGAAGGTTCCATATGCACTTGGATAGAATGTATATTCTGCTGTTTGAATGGAATGTTCTTTATGTATCTGTTAAGTCTGTCTGGTCTAATCTGTTGTTTAAGGCCACTGCTTCCTTATTGATTTTCTCTTTGGATAATACATCTATTGATGTAAGTGGAGTGTTAAAGTTTCCTACTATTCTTGTGTTACTATCAGTTTCTACTTTTGTGTTTGAAAATAGTTGTTTTATATATGTAGGGGCTTCTATGTTGGGTACATAGATATTTACAGTGTTATATCCACGTGTTAGATTGATCTATTATTTAATGTCCTTCTTTGTTTCTTGTACAGATTTGTTTTAAAGTCTGTTTTGTTTGAGGTAACTATTGCTAGACCAGCTTTCTTTGCACTTCTGTGTGTATAGAATATCGTTTTCCATCCCTTCACTTGAATGCAATCTGTATGTGTTTTAGGTCTGAATTGAGTCTGTTATAAGCAGCATATGGATGGGTCTTGCTTTTTTACCCATTCAGCCACTGAGTCTTTGATTGTAGTATTTCTTCCACTTCCACTTAAAGTAATTATCGGTAGGTATGTACTTATTGGTGATTTTTTTTCTGATTGTCTTTGTAATTCTTGTTGTTTTTCGGGATTTCTTCCCTTAGGATTTGATGAATTTTTTAGTGTTATGTTTAGATTCCTTTATCCTTGTTTCCTCTATATTTATTACAGGTTTTTGGTTTGTTTAACATAAAGTTCATATATAATATCTTATGTATATTAGTTTATTTAAGTTGATGATTGCTTAAGTTCAGGCATATTCTGGGGCACCTGGGTGGCTCAGTCAGTTGTGTGTCTGACTTTTTTTTTAATGTTTATTAATTTTGAGAGAGAGTGTGAGCACGTGTGGGGCTTTCAGATCCCTGAGAATCATGATCTGAACCAAAATCAAGAGTCGGACTTGATTTCAGTTTAGGTTATGATCCCAGGATCATGGGATTGAGCCCACCCTCAGCATAGAACCTCTTCAAGATTATCTGTCTCAGTGTCTCTCACTCTCTTTTTCTCCCCATCTCCCTTTCTCCCCCCACTTGTGCATGCTCTCTCTCTCTCTCTAAAATTAAAAATACAAGCAAAAATACATTCTAAAAGCAGTACTTTTTCCCCACCCTGCAGTATTTTGTTTTTGACATCATACTTTATTTACATCTTTGTTTTTTGTATCCCTTTACTAAATATTATAGGTATCATTTATTTTACTATTTTTGGTTTTTAACCTTCATACTAACTTTATAAGTAGTTGATTCACTACCTTTACAATAGATTTGCTTTTCCTAGTGAGTTTTTTTTCTTTTAAAATTTTCTTATTTCTAGTTGTGTCTTTTTCTCTTCCACTTAAAGAAGTCTCTTTAACATTTCTTATAAGGGCAGTTGAGTATTGATGAGCTCCTTTAACTTTTGTCTTTAAACTCTTCATTTCTTCTTCAATTCTGAATGATAATCTTGCCAAGGAAATTTCTTGGTTGTAGGTTTTTTTTCCTTTTGCCTCTTTTATGATGCCATTCCCTTCTGCCTGCAAAGTTTCTGTTGAAAAATCAACTGATAATCTTAAGTATGTTCTCTTGTATGTAACTAGTTGCTTTTTTCTTGCGGGTTCTAAGATTATTTCTTTATCTTTAATTTTTGACATCTTAGTTACTATGTATCTTCAGTGTGGATCTCTTTGGGTTTATCTTTTTTGGTTTTCTGTGCTTCCTGGACCTGGATGTCTGTTTTCTTCCCCAGGTTAGGCAAGTTTTCTGCTATAATTTCCTCAAATAAGCTTTCTACTCCTTTCTCTTTCTTTTCTTGTTTATATGGGACCCCTATAATGTAAGTGTTAGTGTGCTTGATGTTGTCTCAGAAGATTCTTTAAACTATCATTTTTTTTTTAATGTTTATTTTTAGGGTGGGGTGGGGAGAGAGAGACAGTGAAGGAGGAGGGAGGGAAGGAGAGAATATCACCAGCAGACTCTGTACTGTCAGCACATCATTGTAGGGCTTGAACTCACAACTGGGAGACCATGACTTGAGCTGAAATCAAGAGTTGGACACTTAGCTAACTGAGCTACCCAGGTGCCCCTTTCCTTGCTTTTAAAAATTGTTTTGTCTTATTGTCCTCTATTGTAGTTCTCATTTTATCTTCTTCTCTGATTGGTCCTTTTTAATATTTTGTTTTTAAAATTCTCACTATGTTCATCCATTCTTCTTGAGTTCAGTGAACATCTTTATGACCATTGCTTTGAACTCTTTCATTCTTTTCTAAGGTTTTATCTTGTTCTTTCATTGGAAACCTACTTCTCTGTCTTTTCATTTTGCTTGGCTCTTTGTTTTGTTGTATTAGGTAGCTTAGCTGTGTCTCAGGGTTTTGATGGAGTGGCCTAATGTAGAAGGCTTCCTCTGGTCCCCCAAACCAGGGACTTCAAGGATGTCCCCTATGTGGACTGCATGTGCCCTCTTGTTATGGCTGGGCTGTGACTGCTGGGTTTACACTGGTATGTGGTTTTGGCCTCAGATGCACCTGACTGAAAGGCCTTGCTGTAATGGTGGTAGGCATTTTGGTGGTCGGGGCTGTAGGTGGTTTGGGAGGCACCAGTCTGAAGCTGCCTACTGTGTGGCAGGACAGTAGCTGCTTTGGTGGGGTGCCCATCCCAGTCAAGGCCACTTGGCTGAGTGTGGTGAGGTGAGAGTTGTTTTAGAGGGAGCCTTAAACCTGTCCTAGGCTGACCACAGAGTCTGGTAGAATGGGATCTGGCTGAGGCTACCCGCTAGGTGTAGTGAGGTGGGAGCCACTTTGAAGGGGACGCCTATTGGGGCCAGCATGTTGAGTGAGGTGGGTCCACAGGGGAATGCTGAGGCAGGGCAGGTGGTATTAGCAGAGTATCAGAAAAGTGACAGAAATGGTTCCTGCCAGAGCTTCTATTCCAGGAAAAAGTTCCCACAGATCCTTTTTCCTCCTGCACATGTCCTGTATGAGTCAGCAGATCCTCCCATGTGGCCCGGGCACTTATCAAACTGCTACCTCTGTGCTAGGTCTCAGCAGTGAGTTTGTGCCTGTGCCCTTTAAGAGTGGAATCTCCATTTCCTTTAGCCCTCTAGCTCTCCTGGATTTAAGCCCCACTCATTTTCAGAGCCAGATGTTATGGGGACTCATCTTCCTGATGCAGGAAGAGTGGGCATGCCTAATAACATGATTTGAACCCTTTGCTCCTTAGGGAGGTTGGCCTCTTGTGTTGGTGATATCCCTCTGGCTTGGGGTCACTGAGCAGGGCGTGTGGGTCCTGACTAAGCCCCTTTCCTGCCTCTCCTACCTTTCTGGTATGGCTTTTTCTCTTTAGTAGTAGAAGAGCTATTCTGCCATTCTTCAGGTCATTCTCAGAGACAGTTCTGTATGATGTAATTTTAGTGTGTTTGTGGGAAGAGATGGGTTGGGATCTTCCTGTTTTGCCATCTCGATCCTCCTATTCCCTTTCTTTGTACTACTGTTTTTGAATTAATACTTTTTGCCTGGATTTGGGAAGTTGATTAAATGTCAAATAATAGGTGTGGAGCAAAGGAAGCACTTGGGGATAAAATATTGCATGTGTATGAAATAGTTTGAAAGAGTAACAGAATGAAGAAAACTGCATTTTGATGTTCTATTTTTTTAAGTACATTCTTTAATTTTGCTAATTTTGATAGTTATTCTTTCCTCAGCCTGTCCAGCTGTACCTTCTCTTCTGAATTAGTGTCACATTTATTTACTTATTTAAACATTACTTATTTAAACACTTTTCACATAAAGAAAAAAATTTGGGAATTCTTCCCCTTCTCCCCCCCACTAAAGAAGGGCAGGCCTAGAGCTTTCTACTATATAATATAATTCAGAAGTGGAAATTTACTTACCAGGTTAGTTTTAGGCTAGAAATTAGACCAATTCTCCTTGTTAAGTACCGGCTTATAGTAGAGGTTAAGGATGAGAACTTGAAAAATAGAGTATATAGAGTATGTCAGCTTGGATGACTGCCTTATCCCTAAAGTTAAGTACTGTAGTGGACTCGCTCACTGCCTTTCTGTTTCTTGCATTATAGCCATACACGATCTCACAAAGAACCCCATTCAGTTGCTTTGCTTACTATAAAGGCATGTGACTTTTACCTCATGGCCTCTTTGGTTTTGGCCTCAATTTAATTACTGAGTTCATCTTCCACAGCCATAGATTTTCAGAGTTAGAAGAATCATTGAGGCCAGCTTACCTAATTCCTTATTTTTATGGTCAAGGAAGCTAATTACCAGAGATAGTGACTTATCTGAGTGTGGAGGATGACTTGGTATGAGGCCATTCAGTTAGCTTCTAGAAAATAATAATTCTTTCCTATTAGAAGCATCATTCATATTCCCTGGAGTGAAATAACTTTGTATCTTCTTACCAGAAACATTATTTCTCTTTTTTACCAGAAACATTATTTCTCTTTTTATCAAATAACAGGCTAACATTTGATTTATATCCTTAATAATTGGCAGTTTGGTTAGTACTTATCTGAGGATAATCCACTGATTCCTTAAAAGCCGATCTATTGCAATTCAGAAAAACTCTTTTTTCTAATTTGCTATAGGAACTAAGAGATTTTAAAGAGTTGATTTTTTAATGAAAACCTCTTACTGAATGTTTTTTTTTCCTAACATAATTTTATAATTTCAGAAAAGTAAATTAGGATGGACTTACCTGGTTTTGGTTTCCTTTACAGGTACTGCAATCAGGTTCTTTGTAAAGAGATTGATGAATGTGTGACTCTTCTTCTTCAAGAGCTTGTCAGTTTTCAGGAACGCATCTACCAAAAAGATCCTGTAAGAGCAAAAGCAAGGAGACGGCTGGTTATGGGTCTAAGGGAGGTTACTAAACATATGAAGTTAAATAAGATCAAGTGTGTGATAATTTCTCCAAACTGTGAAAAAATCCAGTCAAAAGGTATGAACATTTTACTTTTGAGATGTTTTCATGTTTATTTAGTATAACTGTAGGATATACAGTGAATTGTAAAGTGGAAGCCAGATGTCTTTCTTTGAGATTAGGTATAAAACATAATGTTGAACATGAAAGAAAGTGAAATTTTTCATTACCTCAAATTATGCAATAAAATTGTGATCACACTATAAAGAAATCTTAATCTATGAACACTAGTTAAGGATTTTATTCCCCAAGTGTCTCATCTCTTATAATCAGAGCAAGCCTCTTTTTTTATTAAGAGTACATTTATTTATTTCTACAAATATATTCTGCTCTAAAAATTTTTGTATTACCTTCCTTTGATAAAAGTTACAGTTCTCTGGGGCGCCTGGGTGGCTTAGTCGGTTAAGCGTCCGACTTTCGCTTAGGTCATGATCTCGCGGTTCGTGGGTTTGGGCCCCGCGTCGGGCTCTGTGCTGACTGCCAGCTCAGAGCCTGGAGCCTGTTTCAGTCTGTGACTCCCTCTCTCTCTGACCCTCCCCTGCTCATGCTGTCTCTCTCTCTCTCCTAGAAATAAATAAAAACATTAAAAAAAAAAAAAAAAGTTACAGTTCTCTGCTCTTGCTATGGTGATTTGCCTCAGAAATGAGTAATTACATGCAAAGGCTCTTTTTTTTTTTTTTAATTTTTTTAAATGTTTTATTATATTTCTAGGAGAGAGAGAGAGAGAGACAGCATGAACAGGGGAGGGTCAGAGAGAGAGAGAGTAACAGACTCTGAAACAGGCTCCAGGCTCTGAGCTGGCAGTCAGCACAGAGCCCGACGTGGGGCTCGAACCCACGACCCGCGAGATCATGACCTAAGCGAAAGTCGGACGCTTAACCGACTAAGCCACCCAGGCGCCCCTACATGCAAAGGCTCTTATGAGAACCTGCACACAGTACTGTTTACTGTGTCATGCACCCTGATTTGTCTGTTTTCATAGAGGAGCTACATTGGGTAATTGGAGACGATATATGCAGAAGTAGCAGTAGTAGGAATATTCTCCATAGGGGGAAAATGCCACAAAACATGGTAATATATGTCTGTCTCGTTGCTACTTGAGCTGAGAGAATAAAGACATCAGTTACTATTAACGATTTTAATTTGTTTTAATAAATGTTTATTGTATTGAAGTTCGACTTCCACTATACTAATCCCTATGGAGAGACAAAAACTTGCTTTGAAGAATTTTAAAATTTATTGGGAAGAAATTATATATATATAAATTCCAATAGGAAAATAGTGGGACAGCAAAGTACCACAGGTATTCATAGAATCCTTTGTTGCTGTATTTTGTGCTTTAGCTGTTGAGTGCTAAAATACCTCCATTTCAGAAGTAAGCAAATTAGAGGCATCTGGGTGGCTCAGTCAGTTAAGCTTCTAGTTCTTTATCTCAGTTCAGGTCTTGATCTCAGGGTTGTGAGTTCAAGTGCCATCCGTGCTGTGTGTGAAGACTACTTAATGGGGAAAAAAATAATAAGTAAATTAAAACCTCAGCATGTGTTGACTTTCTCAGGTGGCCTGGATGAGGCTCTCTATAATGTTATAGCCATGGCACGGGAACAAGAAATTCCTTTTGTGTTTGCTCTTGGAAGAAAAGCTCTAGGACGCTGTGTGAACAAGCTGGTTCCTGTTAGCGTAGTGGGAATCTTCAACTACTTTGGTGCTGAGGTAAGACTTAGAGGATGTACTCCCTCACTCCCTCCTGTTCCCCCTACTCTTGACACACACCTGTGTTACGGTTAAGCGTTTAAAGAAGTGAGATGATTCCCAGGGATGAGTGGGAAATTCTTGAGTCTTACATTTCCTTTTTTAGTGTTAAAACCATTTTTACAAATTAATCCAACAGTATTTTGGCTGTAAACACATTGGCTCCAATTTTTCCCACAGTGTTTTTTTTTTCTTCTGGGTTCAATTTTGTAATATCTGAGAATTTATTTAACTGCTGGGTAAAGGTATCCAGTATTATACAATATAAAAGAATTTTGTTCAGCTTATATAATGGCTATATTTTGTGTTTCTTGGAGTCAAGAGAGAAAATCGTTCAATTGGAGAGGATTTTCTTTCAGAAAATGGAGTTCCTAACCAAATGTCAGAATAATTCTGCACTCATGATACTAATTTGCTAATAAAGCTTTGCCCATAGGAGTTGTTAATAAACAAGAATGGGCTGATAACTAATAAATAGAATAAAAGTTATTTATCTCCCATAATACTTATTAACCGATAACATTTTAAGACTTTTTTATGAAGTTCATTTTGAAGTATTTTGTAACACCATTCATGGACCATTTTCCTTCTTCCCAACCATACTATTTTTATATATTTAAATGTTTAATATTTAATGTTTCGATTTTATATATTATGTATTTTATATTTATATATTTAATGTTTATTTTTAAATGTTTAATGCTCAGTAGTTAGATTTGATATTTCTTCCAAAAGCCAAAACACTTTATACATCTCATGGCATTTAATATAAGTAAGGTACCTTGCTTGAATCATTGGCGTCTCCCATCTTCCAGCCACACAGAAGTTTCCTTGAGAGCAGAATGGTGTTCCAGTGGTCTTTGTACTCTAGTGCCAGATACTAAAGGGTGCAGTTGTTTAATTGATAAACTTTGCAAGAACTTTTAGTATATCATGGAGCACTGGGTGGCTCAGTCGGTTAAGCGTTTGACTTTGGCTCAGGTCATGCTTTCACAGTTCGTGGGTTCAAGCCCCATGTTGGGCTCTGTACTAACAGCTAGCTCAGAGCCTGGAGCCTGTTTCAGATTCTGTGTCTCCCTCTCTGACCCTCCCCTGTTCGTGCTGTCTCAGAAATAAATAAATTAATTAAAAAAAAAAAACATTAAAAAAAATCTTTTAGTATATCACAGTTAGTGACTAGTATTAAATCAAGAAATTTCCTCAGAGGGCCACCTGGGTGGCTCAGTCGGTTGGGCATCCAACTTCTCCTCAGGCCATGATCTCACAGTCATGGGTTGAGCCCTGCATCAGGCTCTGTGCTGACAGCTCGAAGCCTGGAGCCTGCTTACGATTCTGTATCTCCCTCTCTCTGTCTCGCCCCCAGCTTGTGCTCTGTCTTTCAAAAATAAACAAACATTAAAGAGAAATTAAAATAAGAGAAATTTCCTCAGACTTGTGAGAATTATAGAAACAATATCTGAAAGTTAGAGTATTTTATAAAGTTCTACAGTGTTCATACCACTTGGATTTTGTGCTCTTTGAAAGTGATCCTAGAACAGTAGATATATATTTTGTTTAAAATTTTTTATTTATTTATTTTGAGAGAGAGAAAGAGCATGGGAGGGGCAGAGAGAGATGAAGTGAGAGAGAATCCCAAGCAGGCTCTGCACTGTCAGTACCGAGGCCAATGTGGGGCTCAAACTCATGAACTGTGAGATGATGACCTGAGCTGAAATCAAGAGCTAGATGCTTAACCGACTGAGCCACCCAGGTGCCCCTATTTATTGTTACTTATAGGATTGAAAAGCATAACAAAAAATGGACTAATAAAAATTCCTTTTTAGAGCCTGTTTAATAAGTTGGTAGAACTCACCGAGGAAGCCAGGAAAGCATACAAAGACATGGTTGCCGCAATGGAACAAGAGCAGGCTGAGGAGGCCTTAAAGAACGTGAAGAAGGTGCCACACCACATGGGGCACTCTCGTAACCCCTCTGCAGCCAGCGCCATTTCTTTCTGCAGTGTTATTTCTGAACCCATCTCTGAAGTAAATGAAAAGGAATATGGTAAGTTGGTCCATATCATTTCAGGTGATTGAAATTTTGAAATAAATGCTACCTTTTGTTTTTATCTTTTGATTATTCACATTTTGGTTGGAATTTTGAATTAAGAAATTGCATTAAACCTGTCCATTAAAAATTAGGAGACGATTGGTGCTGAGACTTTCTGTGAGATCCTGTAATTTGGTCACATTTCCAGAATCTCCAAAGGGATTTAAAAGTGAAAATGTATCATACTTTGTGACCTGTAACTAAGTAAATTCTAGGAAGTTTCATGCTGATACTGCATTATTGAAGTTTTGTATTTACTAAGTAAACAAAAGACCTGAATATTATTGAATGTAAGCTTATAAAATCTAGACATAGGACATTTGTTTTGAGTTAAATTTGATGGTAGTCAAAAAGAATATAGACGAAAACCCAGCTTTTGTGTGTGTTAAAGAACAAAAATTCAACTAAGTAAATTTAAAGGTCTAATCGGCTTTCCTAAGTGATTTGAGCATTGGGTGACATCCCGTGTAGCAAGTAGTGGGGAGCTCTGAGGAGCTGTACAAAATGGAAGGTTTTTATAGGAAGGTGGATGGTGCAAGTTTATTAGCAAAAGAAAAGAAAGGATCCTTCCTGCCAAGGTCTGGCAAGGTCACCTTCCTTGAGGGGGATAGGCAGGGAGTCTTATTTAGGTGGATTGTCTCATCTTCCTGTTGGAGGTGGAGAGGGCCCTTGTGACAGATTACCTCACTGGTGCTGACCAAAAAACTCTTCAGACTTCTATTCCTAGGGGAGGTTGAAACCGGGATTATGTTAGCTATGCAGCTCTGGTTTGGTAACTTGGCCTCAGTGATGCTGTTTTAGGCCTGTGGTTTTGTTTTCTTTTTAACGTGTGTAATGTTTAAAATAGCATTATTTACTGCACTGTACATTTAGTAGTTTCTTTGCCTTGTTTCTGTAATACTTTGAACTCTTAAGTTCCCCACTTTTCATGATCTAGTTTCTAATTCAGTTCCCAATTTTTTTCTTTTTAATAATAGTATAGCTACCTCCTTCAACTTGACTTCTGGTTCTTCCTTCTTTTCTTTCTTTCTTTTTTATTTTTTAAATCTGTTTAGGAG